TCATTTTCATTTGTCTCTATATATCTTTTAAATGTTTTAATTTTACAGAGTTTATTGGGGTGATATTAGTTAATAAAATTATGAAGGTTTCAGGGGTACAGTTCTATAATATGTCATCTGTATATTGTATTGAGTGTCCACCACCCCAAGCCATGTTTCCTTCCATCACCATTTATCCCCCATTTACCCTCCTTTACCTTCCCCCACCACTTTCCCTCTGGTAATCACCATACTGTCGTCTGTGTATATGAGTTTTTTTACTTTTTGGTGTTTTGCTTAATTTCTTCACCTTTTTCACCCTGCTCCTTTATGCCCTCCCCTCTCACAGCTGTAAATCTGTTTTCAGTATCTGTTTCTATTTTGTTTATTTTGTTCATTAAATTCTACATATAAGTGAAACCATGTGGTATTTTCATGAAATCCTAGTGCTGTCACCTGCAGCCACATGCCTCCCGGCAGCGCAGCTATGATGTGTAAGGGTGGAGTGAGCTGGGGGAACTTGGCTGCATTTCTTGTTGCTTTGCTCTGCCAGTAATGTTGATTGGCAAACCTCTGAGGCACCCCTTCTGTTCCTCTACACAGTCCTGGGATTAGTCCTAGTGTGCCTGGCACTCAGGGAAAACATATTTCTGTAGCACCAGTTCTCTGGTTTGCAGATAATGTGCTCTGCAATCCACCATTCACTGCTACAACGTCTTCCAGGGCCTGCTGCTAGCTCTGGGGGCATGAGGGAAACGGTCAGATTCTGTGGCTTTGTTCTTCTGTCTGGAATACTGATGACTGCCAGAGAAGCTTGGCTGCACCTCTGTACTTCACCCCTGCTCAGGTCACTGTGCTCAGTTGCAGTTCATATTGCCGCTCATGTATCAATGCTCACTGAACCTCTTTGCTCCTTCCTCCTCGCTAAAGGAGTGCCAGCAGCAACCTGATTCCTCCCCTCTGCAGCTAAGCCCTGCATTGAGCTCTGGGTTATAACTCCAGGTTTGGGGCTGCTCTTTGGCCTGGGTCAGCTCTCCTCATACCCCACTTCCTGGGTTTGCTTCCGCTTGCCCATCTTCAGGTGTCTCAATGTGTGGATCTCTCAGACATACTTGTGCATTGAGCAGGGAATCCTTTGTTGAATTACAGTGATTCAAATTGTTGAAATTTCAAGGGGAGAGACCCAGAGGATCTCTCATGCTGCCACACCTCTGCTGTCACATGGAAATCTTGATTAGAGGTTTCCAGACATGACTATCCTCAGAACTGCTTGGTGAGCATTTAGAACATAATGATCCATAGGCTTTTTACTACAGAGCACATGAGTTAGAATCTCTGGTAAGTGTGAGTCTTGGCTTTAGATTAAAGAGTCCACATAAATCAAAGCAGAGCAGTTATCTTGGTTGTAGAGACATTTGTCCCATATGATTGGTACAAGGGCAGACTAAGAAATAGAAAAGCCAAGAGGTCTCGCCCACTGTTAATGGTGCAGAAACTTCATGTCTTTAATATGATGTTTTCTCCTTTCTTTTCCTTTGATTCAAATGGGCCTCATCCAGCAGCCTGACACCCACCTCCCTCTCCCTTGCACATCCACCCCAGTAATCATTAAACCCTCAGGACAGTGAGGTTCTGGTCAGCATCAAATAATCTTAAGAACAAAGCCTCAAGTCTGTTGACCATAGACACAAAGTTTCAGTCAAACTAGAGATAACATTTAGGCCTTGGTTGTGTTTCAGCAAAAACAGAATTACCGGTCAACCGCACCCTTGAAAAAACTGACACAGCAGCTATGTGGGTGACTGGCATCAAGACCAATTTACAGAGACCACAACTCTAATTTCACCATAATTAATGACCTTCCCTTATATAACCCATCCCCTAGAAGCCAACAGGGGTACAGGTCTTTGAACATGAGCTCATATATGACTCCTGGCATGGTACCATTTCACTCATTAATAAACCTTTTCATTTTGGGCTGCAAGCTCATGTGTGTGTTTAATTGAGCTTTGATGCTTGAAGGTGAATGGAGCACTCTTAGTTTGGTAACACCAGCAGCAAATCTGTTTAAAGGAGAAATGCAGAGAGGATGAGTGGAGGCTGATAAATTTCTATGCACTATTACTTAGCCTAATTTGAATGCATCAACTTTCTGGGAACTGAAAGGATGAAAAAGGGAGACTCTCACTGACTACAATTCTTTTTTTTATTTAATAAAGTTTTATTTTTCAATATGTACAGCCTATGGAACCTGTTGTTCCTCTATCTTCACCAACAGCTGGTGCATCCCAACCTTTGGCGTTCTAGTATCAATTACTGAGCTCTGTACTTTGAAACTAGTTTAATAAGTCTTTTATTAAGGAGCTCCCAAAGGGCTGCCCTGGCCAAGGAACCATGTCATATGTTGCTTTGTCAAACAAGACTAGGTTATTGAGTTTGTCCCAAACATTGCCTTTGAACCACTTCTTCTTTTCGACCTTGCCCCTAGATTTGTTCACTGGGTTTTTGTCTTTTTGTCAACTTCCCAGCATCTTTCTTCTTCTCCTTGGGTGGCATAGCAAAATGAAGAGCAGCGGCTACCACCATTGCCTTGATAAGATGTTGGGAAAAAACTCACTGACTCCAATTCTTTTTTTTAATCCTCGCTCAAGGACATTTTTTCATTGCTTCTGAGTGAGAGAGGAAGGGAGAGAGGAGGGGAAAAGAGAGAAACATAGATGTGAGAGAGAAGCGTCAATCAGTTACCTTTCGTACATGCCCAGACTAAGGATTTTATATACACAGACCTGGGATTGAGCCCGCTATCTAGATATATGTCCTGACCAGGAATCAAATCTGCAATGCTTCAGCTACAGGATGATACTCCAGCAACCGAAAAACATCAGTCAGGGCCTGACTATAATTCTTTCTGAATTAAGAACTTGATGGACCAAACTTCAATAGAAACCACAGAGTAAGAGAAGTGGTCAGTTTGGAATGTGCTAAGGTTAAGATTTCATGGCAGAAACAATTATAAATAGTAGTATGACATCTTCAGTGACTCTTTAAAAAATGATCAGTTCATATAGCTACTCTGCTTATAATTTTCAATCTCATTCTCAATTTCTCTCAGAATAAAAGTCCTTTCAAAACCTACATGAAACAGCCCACCACCCCCATTAAATATTTGGAACTTATCTTTTACTTTTACCTTCTTTGCCCACTAAATTCTACCCACATTAGCCTATCACTTCACTATAGGAACACTTACTTCTTGACTTAGCATATCCATTGCAAGTTCAAGAATACTTTCCTATTGTACATATCCATGTAACTCATTCTTTTGCTTTAATTTTGCCCAAGGGTCATTTTCACAGTGAAATCATTTCAAACCATCCATAACAGCACCTAACACTCCCACCAAACCACTACCCTTCACTTTCTCTGCTTTATTTTCCACATATTACTATTGAGAATCATGAAGGACATAGGATTTTGACCTCACTCACAAGCTAATCAATGAGCTTCCCATGGTTTCACAGATCTGGTAGAAGAAGGCAGGTTACTGCTCACAACAATAGCTTTAGCCAAGTAGCAGCACTTTTTTCCAGCTTTGTTGAGATATAGTTGACAAATAATATTATGGGAGCTTAAAGTTTACATAATGGTTTGATGTATATATATTGTGATGGTTTGATGTATGTATATTGTGAAAATGCTCCCCATGATAAGGTTAGTAGTGCTAGTTCCTTGAGCCCCCATTTCTTCAGAGTGAACATGCAGTGCATTGAGTTACAGAAGAAAATCTGAGTCTACATGCTGCAGATAGAGTCGGAGTCCAGGTTCTTGGCAGTCACAAAGAATTGAACTGACCACACAGATATTGTAAAGCAAAGCAAGTGGGAAATTTATTAAAGAAAGTACACTTCTCAAGACATGGAAGGGTGCCATCTCTGGCCAGGGAATGGTTCTTATTGAACAGTTTCAGGCTTTATAGGATTTTTACTTAAGCTTCTACACATGCAATTTCCCACACTCTTCCTTGATTGCCCACTTGGGGAAGAAACCACAATGTTAATTATTATCAGATATCACAAGGCAATTCTCGGAATTCAGGATGCTGACTGCAGTGTCACAGGATTCCTTATTCTACCTCCTGGCTCCTAGGGAACCTAGATTCATGAGAGTGAGCACTACACATCACACCCTTTCTCTGGATGGAAATTCTTTCTTTATATTACTGAACAATAAACATGCCTTCCTCCCTCTGGAGGGAAGCACTCTCCCTCTATTTGGCTGTATAAACTCCTGAAAAAATAGTGTCTGCTTATCAAGTGTACAGAAATGTTAGAGACTGTGCAGGCTTACCTCCCAATAGGCACTCCCCATTTCTAACAATTAAACACTCCTGATTTTCTTCATAGTCTTCTTCCATCACTAGACTGTAAACTCAAGACATTTATTATTTGAATTCTTGTCTATTTTACTTATTGATAAAACAATATCTCGCACATAAAGGACATTCAATGAAGATTTTCTGAATGAGTAAATGAATGAATGGAAAAATGTACATAAACTAATCACAATACCAAAATTTGGGAAGATGATTATTAAACTCAATAATGGATAAGATGCACTGCCTCACAACTGCACGATATAATACTGAAATTTTTAAATATTTGATTGCTTGGAAAACATACTTATGCTAAGTATAAAAAAATATACAACCTGTAGGTTGAAGATTATTTCAATTTTGTAAATAAACACACTCACAATTTGTATAGGAAAATCATAAAGGAAAATGCACCCAAAGTTCCAGAATTTTTAAATAGGCTAAGAACAGCTTATCTTTATTCTCTTTCATTTCTCTTTTATTATCCAAATTTTCTATGACTTGTATGTATTATTTTAATTATCAGTAAAAACAAACATGCTTATTTGGAAGCTTTTATTATTTCATAAAGTTTTTAAAGAAGATAGGCAAGCAGGCCTGAAACTGCAGAACTACTGTTAGTCACCTCCTCCAAGTGCAGAAACCTTCTTCACGCCTCTTTTAGAAGCAGGAAATTCTGGTAGAATTCATGATGGATAGCTGGTGGTCAGTATTCTTCAGAAAATGGGTAATAAGGGTGATCAACAGCACTGAAAGAGAAGGAGGGATATTCATTTACTAATTCAGTCCCAAGCTTTCAAAACAAGAGTTTCCTTGTGGACACAGTCAGGATAGGGTAAAGAAAACTCTCAGTTTCCAGGCATGCACTTCCTTCTCCCTCATCACACAGACCTGCAGCTCCTGATCCATGTACTTGATTTCCACATTCATATGCAGTAGAAAAGCCAAGGGAAAGGTGGTTTGCTTTAGATTATAGTTTGCCATAGGATGTGAGAGCTACAGATGAATCTCGGTAATTATTTTGTCTCACATGTCTCTTCTGTCCCTAGATTCATAAGAACGTTCACAGTGAGGACTCCATTGCTCTATTTCACAAATCCATTCAGCAACTCAGGATCTCTCTGTTAAGGAACTTCTGTCTTGAGAAGATAATATGTATCCCTACATTAGCATACCTGCCAAATGTAATTACAGCTTTCACATAATTTATTTATTTGTACATTTTAAATTTTATTTATTTTTACTTTTAGAGAGAGGAGATGGGAGGGAGAAAGAGAGGGAGAGAAACATCAATGTGTGAGGGAAACGTCAATCAGTTGCCTCTCACGTGTCCCCAACTGTAAATTGAACCCACTTCCCAGGCAATGCCCAAACTGGGAATCGAACTGGTGCTTTGTGGGACGATGCCCACCAACTTAGCCACACCAATTAAGCTATACAATGTATAAGAATATTTTTTTTTTCAGTAATTAGTGTCACTGTTGTTCTCCTTTTTCCTCGGGTTCTTTTCCAAATTTGGAAAAGGTTTACTTTTCCAAATTTGTCCTTTATGATTCAATTTCATTCAAGAGTGCATTCTGAGAAACTCTGTGTGCCAGGAGCTGTGCTGGTGAAAGGGCCCGGGAGACAGGGCCAAGGACCGTCACAGGCCTGATGAAGAGCACAGAGTTTCACTCAGGGCCTTGGTGCAGAAAAGTTACTTCCCACATCTTTTTCATTGACAATGGTTTTTCTCAGAATCACAACACAACTTTACAAACAAGAAGGATTTTGAGGTCTTCCTTTTGAAACTAAATCTTAATTCTATGCCTAAAAGTTTATTTCCCTCTCTCTAAACTCCTTTGCAAACTCTCAATTTAATAAGTCTTTGTTCTCTTCAATCCTGAGACTCTCCTGCAGTAAGTGAACAATGGGCCTGCTCTGTTTGTGGATGAGTCAAAGTCAAGGAGTGAGAGGCTTTCAGGGGCTGCTCTCCTGATGGACACAGGTGACCCTGGGCAGGTCTTGACTCAAGAAACCCGAGAACTCAGAGGAGCTAAGGCTGGTGTATGCTTCTGGGGACACATCAGTCATTAGAGTCAATTAATTTTGTGACCCATTTTTAATTCAGTTTGGTGACATTACATGACTGAGGAAATGGGGTTTGTGATAAGGATAAAAGGCCAATGAAGAGATAAATTTGGGCAAAATGGGTGGTGCCTTGGGAAAGGAATGCGCAGTTATGAACAAATGCTACAGACCCTTCGGGGAAGAGGTAGAAGCAGCTCCACATAATGTTCCCTTCTAAGCAAATTTGCCTTCATGGGATCCCTCCTCCATAAAAAATATATATATATATATAAATGTTACATTATACAATTCTGTTAAGACAAACATGAATAGAGTCCAGAGTGGATTCACTATTGCATGGTCATTATTAGTATAACCATGTCATCTCCTGATTTTAAAAAGAATTAAAGATGAAGCATTTTCATAGGCTCCTGAAAACAATAATATGAACAGAGCCACTTTAAAATGGAGCCAGAGCTCACTAGCCAGAGGAACCAACTGCCTTGCATGTCTTATGCCTCAAATATTTTTAATGTTAAAAAGCGCAAAATGCTCTTCGGTCAGGTCCTAAGCAACTTTGTATCCTAGGCAAGGATAATAAGTAGGCAATTATAAGTACTGGACTAAGAACTACTAGACTGAAAGTTAAAAACATTGGTTAGAATTAACATCTGTGGATGTAATTATTTCTCCCCTTCCCTGTCTCATAATTATCAACTGATTTTAGCTCCTAAGCAGAACGTTATTTGGACTTCTGCCTGAATTAATGACTCCTGAATAGCTATTCTTATTGATTCAGTAAATGTTTCTTGCCTCTTACTTTGAATGGCCTTTTCTTTTTAGATTGGTGCCCCTCAAAGTGGGCCACAGGCACTGTGCCTTCTGCGTCGAGGGGGCAAGTCAGAGGTGAGAGGACATATACGAGGCACAGGAATTAGGGCATAGAGCCACGAATCCCCCATGATGCAAACTTTGGCCATTTTACTTATGGTCTGTCCTGGGCCCCACTCACATTTCTCTTGGGTCAGAGACTGAGCCTGGAGTAACCTCTGGTTGGAGGTCTCCAGGAAGCTCCTGTTTTATTTCTACACCAGAAATCAGGCCTGTCTTCCAAAAATAAGGAAGCTGAGTTCCTCTGCTAACCTGCATGCTATAGAAAACAATCTGGGAAAAACAATCTACTAGTTACTTACAACAAAAGTTTAAAAAGTCGGAAATTTCTGTTGAGGCCGTCAATTACTTTCATGTCTTCTGGAGTCAATTCAAAGTCAAAAACCTGAAAGAAAAGAAAGAATCAGATTAAACTCTCCCCTAAGGCACCTGACTTCCACCAGAGGACAGGAGAACTTTCTAGATGGACAGAGGCAAGGAGAGCACTAGGGGCAGTCACCACTTCCAAAGAATTGGTCTGAAAACCTTTCTCGTGGGTTCTCCACCCCTCTTTTCCCACTCCCTCTCCTCTTCTGCTCCATCTCACAATAGAAAGGTGTTTACAAAATACCTGCTGATTGGACCAAGCTGTAGTCTGGTGCCCCACCACCACCACTGCACATACATCCCCTAGAATTTGATGCAGCCTCGAACTTAAGCCAACTTTGGAAGGGAGAGCAAACCGCCTATAAAGGCCTCTCCGAGAAGCTGTTGACCTCAAAAAAAGCATTTGTTGATCAACTATTCAACAACACACCTGCTCATTCTCTCTCTAGTCATGTTTACTCCTCTATAAAAGAAAAATCTTTCTGATTGATCTTTGAGACATTTACAGATCCAATATAGAGAGAGCTCTCCTTGTTAAATAATTAAAGTTTTTGTTAAGTACAGGTTTGTTTTTGTTTGATGATACAAACTGACTGTCCCCTAATGTAGAATCAATTAATAACAAAGCAGAAAGACCTTGGATAAGAAGTATTAAAACAGGAATTTCATTATTTTCTCCAGGGGACAATGTCATGGAAAACTCAATGCCTCTGTTTCTATTTATTAGCTATTTGTCCACCTTTTATTAATCGTAAAAGTATACTGCAGGAATAACTTGATTGTCATGAGGATAGCCAAAGCAGGGTAAATGTACAATTACAGTTGTATATGAAAAACCGGTTATTCTTGTTTTATTATTTATTAATTATTGTATTATTTTCAATACATATGACTATAAACCTACTTTTGCCCACCCCTATATAGTAACATGTTGAGTTGAACTGAAAATTAAAAAGGGTGTTTTTTTTTCTGATTCATTAACAATGAGATTTAAATTTGCCTATTAGATAGTTCCATAAATTGAATGAACTTAACCTACGGCCTCAAGGTTTTGGAGCAAATACATGATAAATAATATGCTCTGTCATCTTTTGCAAATATTAAACTTATAATGAAATTGTTACTCGTCATCATAAAATGGGAAGACTTTACAGAGTTTCTCAGGAGGTTCACAACAAAGTAAGTTGAATATCACTGACTGATCCAAGGGACAAGAAGCTATATAAAGGAGAGTTTAGGGGGCAAAATGTACTCATTCATTTTTTAATTTGATCAGCCATAAACTTTTACATAGCTTCCTCCCTGCCAGGACTTCTGCGGGGGAAGAGCTGCTAACAGTGAGCCCAGACAGAGTCCCTGCATTTAGGATCTCTCAGTGTAGACAGCACCCATTCCTCACTCTGAAGAGACAGTGTCCAGGCTGTACCTGGAAGTTCTCTTTGATTCTCTTCTCATTGAAGCTCTTGACCAGGACCACCAACCCCCGCTGCACTTGGTAACGCAGAGCCACCTGGCCTAGACTTCTATTGTGTTTCTTGGCAATGGCATTCAAGATCGGATCCTCGAAGAGAACGGGGCTATCCTTTTCCACCCTGAAAACAAAACCAGAAAATGTAGCTTTGAAGGGTGCAGGACTAATAATCTAGATTGTGCTGTCCCTGTTTCCCAAATTCCCCAGACAATCGAGAGAAGTCTGTGTTATGTAGTACATCTATTTGTCAAGAGTTTAGAGTTAAGATTAATGCATGACAAGCTGGATAAATTTATCATAAAATCACTTTTAAAGTTAGAATTTGGAGTGCAGTTTGGAGTAGCTGTATGTGTGCGTGAAACAAGAATGAAAGAATGTCAATGACTGTGGAAGTTCAGTGACAGTACATGGGAGCTCTCTGCACCATTGTGTTTGCTCTTTTTATATTTGAAGTTTTCCAATATAAAATGTAAAATCTAAATTTTAAAAAGTGTTTCATCACCAACAGAGTTACTGACATAGGTTAGCTCTCATATTCTCATTACCAGTTTGGATCTCGTTGGGACCCCAGCACACTGTAAGCAACAAGAACGATGTCCTTGGACTTGCAGAACTCCAGGAGTTTGCTCTGGTTGAGGTATGGGTGACACTCCACCTGTGAATTGCCAAGACCGGGAGGTATCTGAATACATGAACCAATACCATGTAAATGTGAAAAGCCTTTGAAGGATTATCTAATACTACATTAACATATGCACCACATTTTCCAGACTGGTCATTTTCTCACACCCCTTCTGAATTATCTTCAAATACTATTGATTTTCAGAAGTTATAAAACAATTTTCTTAATTTTTATTAGTGTTGAAGAATGGTTAAAGACTGTTATACCCTGTTTGTGATCTCTACATGTCATCGCCTGTGGAAAGAAACCAAGATTCCTTAGAAAAATAGCTGACTCCACTACTGGGCCAAGAAGTTACAGATGGAGCCTAGAACACCTTGCATTCTAGAAAACCAGACAGGAAGGACCCTGAGGGATGTCAGAGGATGCAAGCTCATCTGAAGAGGCATCTTCTGATTAAAATGATGACAATCCAATCATCAATAAGAAAGTAACTACATTTCTTGAATTCATGAATTCATAATTACATACATGATCAAGTCTTCAGATATAACCTCCAATTTGCAAGAACAAAAGACAGTAACATCAAATTATATCACAGGCATCAATCAGTAAAACCAATTCTGAGGAAATGTTTAAATGAAAAAAAGTCTGTTTCTGTCACAAATAAGTTAAGAGAGAGAGAGAGAGTGAAAGGGGACAGTAGGAGAGAGGAGGAAAGGAATGAGAGTCACATTTTAACATATACTGAATTATTTTCCACGGATTCCTAGAAGGAAATAACTAAGGTGAAGAATATAAATTTCTTGCATAATTTTCACACTGTTTCACAAAAGGGATAGACAACCTTACAATGTCATAGTGATTGAACATTGGCAACATTGGTATTTTTTAAATTATTTCTTTTAATTGTGATTTACCCACCTCCTCACTTTCCACTGCTTTGTTTTCTCCGGCTTTTCCCATCACCGCTCTGTAAATACTCCTGCAAGGTTTCCCATGAACTTTGTGTCAAAAACCCCACACCTTTTCCATCATGAGTTGGAGTGGCTGCTCCCAGCAGGGTCCACCCATGGTTCCCACAAATTTTTCAAGTGTCTCCTTTGATTCCCTGATACCACACACTCCTCATTTTCTCCCTCCTTGTCTGCCAACTCCTGCTGAGTCACCTGACTAATACCCTTTGCCTGATCCTTAAATGTTGACTTTCCTGCCCTCTTCATGTTCATTCTGTGAACTTCCCTAGGAGAGGGAGTCAATTTCTGTGAGTTTAATTGCCACCCATAAAGCAATGACCCCATAATATGTACCTCTAACCCTGCCCATCTGCTTCAGCTCCACACCAACACTGCCACCTGCTAACTGAGCATCTCCACTTGGGTGTCTCCTGGTTACTTATAACTGACCTCTGAATAACTAAAGTCATGGTCTCCCCATTCCACTCAACCTGTTTCTTCTCTGGAATTTCCTATCATAATAAAAGGAATGATCATGTATACAACTGACATCAAGCCAAAAACTGAGGACTCTTAATCAAGAAAGAGGGTGTGAAGAGCAGAAGCAAAGAAGTTCCCATGGGAACCAGGCCTCACCTGGTTGCAGACGGGCTTGTACTTGAGCCCTGGCTTGTCCAGGATCATCTCCAGCAGTTTGTGATTGAAATTGGACACTCCAATGGACTTGGTTAAACCTGCATCCTTACACTTCTCCAGGGCCTGGGGAGGAAGGATATGTGTGGCAAACCTCTACTGTAGTTTAGCTGTTCAACTGACAGTGAACTTTTTAGAAAATAAAAATCTGTCTTAACGTAAGTAACAATTTGGCTGAACCAAACAGTTTTATCACTTGGATGTATCACTTCCTAATGTACTTTATTGCTTGTGTTCTTGGGTCTATGACATACACATCGAGGGCAATAGTTAGACTTTAAGATGCTTTTAAATTCCCTAACCTCCCAGCCTCCTTCCATGGTGTGTATTTTCCTGCCTGGTGCATAACAATAGTTCCCTAACAAATGGTGTCAGAGTCAAGGGCAAAGAGGACCTCTTAGGTTTTCCACTAGTTGAAGGTTTTTCTGCTTCCTCTTTACCTAGATTGATGAAACAAGTGTTTGGACTGAATTACAGAAGGGTAGGCTTTACTGTCCTCTTGCTAAGCAGACAACAGCTTCCCTCCCCTCCCCCAGCCCTGATGTGTTTATCTGTCCTGGAATAGAGCTCTAGCTCCTCTGGAGTTTGCTTCTGACAATGTCTCATTCAGGAGTCACAGGCTCTATTTGATCACTGGGCAAAGAAAGCCCTACTTAAAACCACAAAAGTTTACATTAAAAATAGACTTCAGCCATGATTCCGTTTGAGTCCCTTGCTTTACAACTGTAAACTCTAACGTACAGAAGAGTTCAGTGACATGTCTGAGGGCAGACACAAATGAGGTCAGAATCCATTTCTTCTGACCCCACACAGTGATGTTCACAGTGCTTTTGGGTGGCAGTAGCAGTACTTACCTCCCATGTGTCACGCAGGTCCACTGTTTCTAAAATAACTTTCCCACTGGCATCCTTTGGCATAAGCTCCTCTCCAGGCTAGAATACAGAGATGAGGAAGAAAGGTTTTTATTAAAGAATGGTCTTCCTGGTGTCTAAGTAGCTTGGTGACACAGCCTTTGATAGGCTGTTATTACTATGCACAGTGTGTATATGTGTGTCTGTGTGTGTGATGTGTAAGAGAAGGCTTTGGGGAAAAGAAGATCAGAATCACAGGACAGACTGTCGCATAGTACCTCTTCCTCAATTTTCTCCACCATCCTGCCCACACACCCCACCAAAAAAGCTTCACTAAGAATGAGTTCCCCTGCAGCTGGAATTGATTTTGTTTCAGAAGGACAGGCTGGTTTGCATGATGTGGTTTCCCTTTACTATTAAGAATTTGCTTTAGCCCTGGCTGGTGTGGCCAGTGGATTGAGCACTAGCCTGCTAAACAAAAGGTCTCCAGTTTGATTCCCAGCCAGGGAGTTACAGGCCAGCTCCCTAGTATGGGGTGCACGAGAGACAACCACACATTGATGTTCCTCTCTCTCTTTCTCCCTCCCTTCCCTCTGTCTAAAAACAAAATAAATACAATCTTTTAAAAAAATGTGCTTTAATTCAGTTTATGATAACCCAACTCAGAGACAGTGAGAACACCAGGTGTGCTCAGCAAATGTCCACTGCGATGAGTCTGGCCCGGCAATGCCCAAAGGAGCCCAGTTGTGCAATATGAACCACCCCTACCTTGGTGCCCCTACCTTGACCAAGCTGAGAAGTCCATCTCCAAAGGACCCCTCATTTCAGAAGTGTGGGCATCCCATTGTGTCTCCTCTCTACCTTTTGTAATCAGCCTTCTTGAGGACCCTCATCACTCAGGGACTAGAGACAGGAGCACATCACTCAAACACAAAGGGCAGTGCCCTCACCAATTTGAGGTGGAGGCAGTGAGATCATTGAATTGCCATCCTTCTCAAGGCTCTGGGATGAGGATAAAAAATCTTGATGGTGAGGTGACACAACTACCCAGGAGAGTTCATTCAGCAGTTCTAGCCGCCACACTCAAATCTGCCCCTCTCAGCCAGAACCCAGAAAATCTATCTGGAATGAGATCATGGAGGTGCAACAGCAGTGATTAAATACGCTTGGGAAGGACAAGAAAAATAAAAACTGACCTTCATAGCTATTGGAATATGAATGAGGAAGAGATCTACATAGTCTAGTTTAAGTTTCTTCAGTGATCTTTCCAGGGCTGGTCGAACCAGTTCTGGTCGAAGGAAAGTAGCCCAAACCTGCAGCAACCAAAAGAAATTTTAAAATGTCTTATGATATCACACATCTGGGAACTAAATTGAATGTCATAGTTAAGAGATTGGGATGTGAGTAATGAACCACTGTGGTGGTCTAAAAATAAGAGTTCTGGGGCTAAATTTATGTTACTTAGTATCAATGAGCTTCTTAATAGGATACTGAGAGTTTTTTGAGTGAGTGTAAGAAAACTAAGTAAAACTTAGACGGGTCAGGAAAAGCAACCGAAAGGTTTCAGGGATTAGAAAATTCATCTCTGAAAAGAAAGTCAAGATATGTCAGGCAAGGGAAAATGGGATCAATTGCCCTGTATCACAAATGCCTGGACACAGGGCTGCTGAGAGGTTCACATTCTGAAAACAAGTCATCATTGCTGCAGACACACAGAACCATTCGGTAGAGACCGCTTTAAGTTGGAGGCAGGGTTTTCCACCTAAGACAATTTTTACAAATTTCAATGCTGACTTGAAAAAAGCATTTCCTAGTCAGGCTCCCCCCCAGGATACTAAGCCCACCTCACTTGGATATATCCTGAGAGAATTTGCTGAAGAATGAAAGGAGTGGACCCACCCTGCAGTGGCTCAGTCAGTCCACACAGCAGATGAAGATGGTGAATATCTTTCCTCCTGTTTGACATGTGAATGCTGACCTGTGTACAGAGAGGCTGAGCAACTGTGTCCCACCCTTAATACATTCCAGAGCAGAACAATCTTTCCTGTTTTCTGTTTTTCTATAATGGGCTTTTACAATGTTAGAAGGTAAATAAATTTTTCAACCAAGGCCAAAGCTTTTTGCTTTTTTTGTTTGTTTTTCCAAAATAATGTATCTGCTCTGACAGTGAATTCTCATCACTCTGCCCACAGCACCTTGGTGGTGTAGAATATGTCCTCTCTCTTCACAGTGCCATCTGCAATCTTGTCTCGAATGGCCTGGCCGACCTCCTCCTCATTTTGATACAAGTATGCCCCGTCAATATGATGGAAACCTACATCAATTGCCACTTTGGTGGCCTCAGCTACCTTGTTCTTGGGAACCTGTAAAATATGAATTAGGAGGGTTGGTAATTAGCCTGTCTCTGAAAGAAGCAATTTATTTCCTTAAGATTATGTTCACCAGCTGTTTCTAGATGTCTCCTCTTCCCCTGTTTGAGGGGACAAGTCTTGGTAACAAACCTGTACCTTGGAGGCATGCATCAAACTCCAGGAAGAACTCTCATCTGAAATGAACTAGTGGAACGGTCTTCATATGCAACATGGAAAATTAAGTCATCCAATAGAGAATGTGTTTAGCGTGTCTGGGAATGAAATAGCACCTGGCACACTCTCTTCTCCTCACTCTCACTTCCCCGCTTAGGAGATTTATGGGGCCTGTGTGCTCAACTTTAGCATCTGCCAGGTTAAAAGTCTGCTTCAGAGTCATGGAAACCTTCGTTCAGATGACACGGGAAGAGTTCCATCTAACCCAATCCATGGCTGCCCCCTATCATTTGGCATTCCCATGCCAGCAGATCTTGAGTTTATAAGGTGATTACTATATAGAGAGTGGTGACTGACTGTGCTTTTCAGAAGAAGATAGAGTGGCTTCTCTCTGCATGTGGCAGGGAGGGAGATGTGTGGGGTTCAGGCAAGTCACTAGGGCAGGTCTTGGTGTTTCCATGCCTGTGAATAACCATGGATGAAAAATGTTAACAACTACCACTGGGCAAGGGTGCAGTAACGAGGAGCTCAAGCCTGTTAGCGATTACTCTGTTAGGCAAACAACCCAGGCCAGCAGAAGTACTGTCTGAGTGTGACTGGAGTCTAGACGGGCTGTCAGTGGGGGCGAGGAAGACTGTAATGGCCGTGGACCCACCTGGAGCAGTAGGGAATTTTAATCTTGGTTTTGTGTTTGTTGTCATTGGATGGATGGATAGATAGGTAGATAGATAGATAGATAATTTAATGACAACATCATGAATAATTTTTAAATCTCATTCCAACTTTTAAAAGGGGTCTTTAAATTAATTCCTTTTTCCCACAGAAAACATTAGGGCTCCTATGCCTGAAATCCATTTTCTCTACTTCAAGTAGGTTTTTGTCCTTCAATCTTCAGTCCACTGTGCCTTCTGTTTCACACAAGCGAGTGTGGGGGCTGCCTGGGGCTGCCCCATGGGCAGCATCAGAGTTTCTGTGACAGGACTGAAGGAGAAGTGTGCCTCTGCTACTTGAACAAAGCCAATCGTACTGCTCATCAGAACGCCTATTTCTGACATCAAGCTTGCTTAAGCTCAGCTCCTCGTTGAAGCCTTCCCAGAACACCCCAGTTCATATCAGCCTCCCTCTTTCCAAATATCTCCACTTCCCTTGGCATTTAGTGATATAATATCCAGTATTGTTAGGTAGTTGTTCGCCACACTTCAAATATCTTTATCTAGTAGTCAAAACTCCAGTGAAGCAGAAATATTTCCTGTGCAAACTTTCTCCACTGCTAAGATATATTTTAATATCAAGTAGAAGTTTACTCTTGATTGCAGAATTGGTTAATTGATTAAATTAATAGTTACATATTCTACCTGGAGTATTTTGTAGCTAAAAACATAAAATCAAAAAGCTTATTGTTCCTTTCTGCCCACCAGGTCAAATACCAACTTATTCATTCTAATATTTATCCCATCCTCTGAAGCAGCTAAAGCCAACATTCTGGTTTCGCAAATGGGGTTACATGAGGCTGTTCCTTGGTCAGTGCCGGAACTTCTAGGAAAGAACTGAGAGGACAGGACACCTGAGCCAGGTCCAGGAAAACCTACAGCAAGAGCAGGTGGATGCACCTCCTCTGTCCACACAGGCTCTGCTTGGAGGCACTGTCGGCACATTTACATGCCTGCCTCAGAGCTGCAGAGCTCAATGCCTTCACGACTAAATCTGAGACACTGAGTTTGCATGTTTCCCAGAAAACAGACCTCACTGAACAAAAGAAGTCACAGGCATGGATGCTGGACCACATTTCTTATTCCTGCCGTGACCCACAGTAAACTGTTGAGGAGGTCAGGGGAGTTGCATTTAGAAAAAGAATTCTGATTAGAATGTAAAAGAAGTTTCTATTTCACTTTGCACCTTTTACACTGTACTAAGCAGGTATACATGTTACTTTTATTCTTGTGAGGGCATTATGAGAGGTTTTGTTCTATTCTTTGCCTTTTGCAATGTATTGGGTTGGCCAAAAAGTCCATTTAGTTTTTTCCATTAAATAAAAGACACAGTTCTTTCATTTTCACCAATAAATTCATTGATTTGTGTATTTTGAGTATGTTGGCCATCTCCTATTTGATATGACTCTGATTGTTCTCTATTAAGGTCTTAATTTGATCGCTATCCACTTCAACTGGTTTACCCATTATGGAGTACCACTCAGCAAGAAATCTCTATCAAGAAACTTCACAAACCACTTTGGACACAATCGCTCATTCACAGAACCCTCTCCATACACTGCACAAACTTTTTTATTTTTTTTGACATTTCGTTTGTTTTTACCTTTCTTGAAATAATAAAGTGTAATACACCAAAAATGTTGCATATATTCTTCCATCTTCAATATTAAAATGGGTACACAAAAATTCACCAATTTTGATAAGTTTTTTAAAAAAATGAATGCTGTCACAATATAATCTAATGAAATCATTTCAAATGACGTTAAAGATAATTAAGAGCTACTAGAACCATCTTTTCAGAAAAAAACAAATGAATTTTTGGCCAACCCAATAATGAAAGTTTGCTATAATGTATCTAAGACATACCCTGCACTTAAGCTGTAACACTGGATACATAATCATGCCATTGCAAACAAACTGACCCAAACTGACAGCTATTAGCTATTGATATTTTATGTCATAGCTCTGTGGAAAGGATTGGTCTCTGTCATTTACAGGGGCAATCTCTCCCAGGCAACACCAAATTGCCCCTTCCACACCATGACCAGAGGTTGACACTTTAAATGCATAGCAGTCAGCTTCACAGATGATAAAAAATGCAACTGATGAGAAGCCCAGATCTGACTCCATTGATACTTATCCCTCTTCACCTTTCCTTTCTAAATGCCTAACACTTGGAACAAGAGTGGCTCCTCATATTCAATGATAGCAGTTCTCTGGCAAATACTTCCAGCCCCACAAACCCTTGGCAAAGCTGCTGGAGCAGTCACACTAGTTGTCCTCTCCTCCTGGGCCCGCTGCCCATCGTGGGTTCTAGCAAAGAGCAGAGTGATTCTGACCGAGGAGAGGTGGGTCCAGGAGCAACAGCTGAGATGAGATTTTAAATAAGAGATAAGAATCATAGCAATTACCTGGACTATTTGTTGAAGAATCAAAGAAAATAATGTAGGTGAAATATTTAAAATACATGGTAAGCATTCCATATATGTTAATTAACCCAAACAATAATAACAAGAGAGATAATCTACCCTCAGATTTAACACCACTGACTCCCCAGAGCCAGCAGCTCATCACCCGACTTAGGACAAAGTCAAAAGTGGTGAAGTGGAGGCCACATGAGTCCTTCCAAATCACCCAGCATGTACTAGGCCCTTGTAGATTTGTTTGCACTCTGAACCCATGGCTTTAACTTACATCATCAGAAGCCGAAGTGCCAAATCCAAGCACTGGCATGAAGTGCCCATCATTCAGTTTCACAGAACGACTGCGTTTGGGATCCATTGCCATTTACAGTCCTGGATAAGCTGACTCTGTCTTTCTTTCCATTGTTGACTTCAAACCAAGTACAAGGCAAGGCTCCAGCATTGTTTATTTATACCAATCACAGGCGACGTGGGGCTGGGATAATAGTTGGCCAGGGTACAGCATTGAAAACAAACCAACCCACTGATTCTCTTGTACCTTTTCCAAGTTCTGGCAGGCACAGCTCCAGGGAGAGCACACAGGAATGTCACACACACTCCTGGAGCTGGGTTTTTTTCTCCAGCATTGCTCACCCTGGACTTCTAAGTTGAAAAAAGAGAAGAGAGGAGAGGAGAGGAGAGGAGAGGAGAAAAAGGGAAGGGAAGGGAAGGGAAGGGAAGGGAAGGGAAGGGAAGGGAAGGGAAGGGAAGGAAAGGAAAGGAAAGGAAAGGAAAGGAAAGGAAAGGAAAGGAAAGGAAAGGAAAGGAAAGGAAAGGAAAAAGAAATTCAACATGTCAAGTTGTCCCTGATAATCACAGCAGACTTACTCTACAAGATGCAAAACAGTCACTAGGCTGGTCATTTCTAAACAATAATTCTACTATTGGACTGCAGTTAAGTCCCTCACCCTTCATTTGGTCAAAAATACCATCAAAAAGACATTATTCAGAGTTTCTTAAACAAAGCTCAACTCCAGGTCTAGAGTACATGTAACAAAATTCCTTAAAACCCCAACCCTAATTTCATTATTTTATTTCCTGTATCAAGACCTCCTTCCACCTCCCGATTCTCTATGTCTTGTTTCTTTGAATCTTTTTTAGCAAGAATATAATTGTCTGAGCCTCAGGATGAATTTCTGCAGCAGTGCCTTTGTTCCAGCTATGCCTCCTGCTGCATCCACCTACTCAAGTCCCCACTTATTCCCATCACCCTTGTGAACTCCGACTTTCCTAAAAGCTCATGCTCCTGCCCACGTCTTTTATGATTTCGCCAGAGGGGCGACCCCTCTTTCTAGTGCCCTCACATTGTTATAGCTTCTATTAGTGCAGTTCAAAAACCAAATTAGTGAAATTACACTCTCAACTAATAAGAAACTTCTGCTAGATAATATCCCTAAGGGTTGCTTTGATTAATGTTACTATTTTGCCCTATATCCCCCATCCTGCATTTCTTTGTGCAGTTGGTGTTTGGCAGCCCACCAGAGGATGTAACATCCTAATTTATTTTCAGCCCATCCCTCTGGCTGGTCAAACTCAGAATTCTATCAGATTCTATTATTCCACGTATCTTGTATTTATCATGACTATAAAGTTGATGAGTATAACTTTTATATTTTTATTGTAAAAGTAGGGCCACCTTCTGTGTCAGGTCACAAGAAAATTCTCACAATTGATATCAATAGCCTTGAGCACATCATTCAACATGTTATATATTTGTCTGATAATCCTGCACATTTACCTGTATTTTGCACTAAATGCCGTGTTAAAGTGCAGAGACGATTTCTTCCTTTCTTCCTCATTCAGCAGCCTAGGGACTTGGTTGGTAAGAGAGAATGGGTCAATTTCTTCCTTAGTAAAGTCATACCAGGCTAGCAGGCTCCCTGCTTCTCCTTTAAAAAGGGCTCACAAAACTTGCATTTAAACATTATCCAAAAACATTTCCAGAGACTGATATCATGCCTGACAGTGATGGTTTTTAGAATCTATCTTCCCTTGCAACTAGAAAGTTATTTAATGTTTGCTTCAGACACCTCTCCTATTTTCTCAGATTTCTCAAAGGCTGCCAATGAGAGAGGATGTGCTTATGGTACCAGCTCATGGCCCATTAGCGGAGCAGATTGGGGCACATCAGTTTGGCCCCAGTGGTCACAGCCTCCTGCTCTTCATGCCTTGGTGTAAAACTTTCTTCTTGAGTGTGGGTGGTACTTGTGACTTGCTTTAATAGATATTTTAATATAATTATAAGAATATTTTAAGATAAAAGAACATGATTTCATTATCAGGTTATATAAGATTGCAACATCTACCTTGCTGATCAACTCTATTGCTTCTCAGCTTGCATACTTTGGTAAAATAACGGGCATGTTGGAAAGGCTCATGTGGCAAGGAATTGGGGGGCTTTTGGACACCAGCCAGCAAGGAGCTGAGGCCTTCATTCCAACAGCTCCCAAGGAAAGGAATTCTGTCAATCACCATCTTGGAAACAGACACTTCCTCAGCAGAGCCTTCCGATGTGACCCCAGCTTTGGCTGACGCCTTGATTGTAGCCCATTGGGGAATCAGAGTAGAAGATCTAGCTCAACTGTGACATGATGCTTAACACATCATTACAAACTTAGCAGCTTGAAACTAATACAGAGATAAGTTAAATGGCAATTACAGGGTCTGGCACAAATAATGCCCCCCCTTTTTTATTACAAAATCATAAGCATGTAATTCTGTAATACAATATCACACTCAAGCAATTCATATGACATTTTAGGTGAAATGTTCAAATTAAAATTATAAATTATTACACCCATATTATTACCCTATCAACCACACCCAAGCAAGCCTTACGTCTGCCAACCCTGTGTAATTCAACATAAAGAGATAAGAGTATAGATTCCTAGGAGAACATGTGATAGAAGACAGGTAATCCAGCCTGAGTGTGTTAGATATTCTTTTACAGTGATCTCTGACTCTTCAAGAATTATATGAAAGTGCATTTTATTTAATAATATAAGCGGGGACCCAAAAAGGAATTTTTTTATTTAAAAATTGTGTATTTATTCTCACATGTTTAAACTTCAGTCACCTTCAAAGTACTCTCCATTTAATGCAATACACCTATTGAGACATTTTTACCACTGCTCAAAACAGTGTTTGAACTTGTTGTTTTTTATGCTTTTAGTGCTTCTCTCATTTTTGTTTTACCTCTTCCACATTGGCAAAACCTTTCCTTTTGAGGACTTTTTTTAATCCAGAGAAACAAAAAACTGTTGCTCGGGTGAGATTGGGTGAGTAAGGAGGGCGGAGCATGGAGGTCATGCCCGTTTTTGGTCAAAAACTGCTGAACGCTCCGAACAGTGTGGGCAGGTGCGCTCATAAATCCCCCATCATTAAATGGATCAACACATTGAAAGAGTCTTCAAAAAAACTCCCTGAAGCCAAATGGAGCCCCTCACAACAACACCAGCTGGTACACTGATACAGAGGTGTTCTTAGAGCACCCCCCTAGTGAGGGAATCCTGTACTACATGGGGCCCACCCACCAGAAGAGAATTTGTTTTTTATGTCCCCCCTTGTACATATTTAATTGAGTAGCTATAATGTGCAAGACATGGTATAGGCATTATGAACAAAACAGACAAAAAATAAATTTCTGCCCCTGTGGAGGTGATATTCTAGTAATAAGAGAATAAACTAATTAACATAGAGAATGAAGATCATGTTACATGATGAGAAAAACTGGTTGAAAGAAGTAACTACTGCAGATCTTCACAAAGTGTGAAGAGAGGGCATTGTGATATTTCTTGATCCGTATCACGGACTCCTCACCTTTCTCTTCCTTTGAGAACTTGCCCTCGTTTTTCAGATAAAATGAGTCATCATTTTTCTTGATGTTGGTGCATTTTTTCTCCCATCCCACTTAGTCCCTCTTCTATTTCCCATGAAAGCCAGGACTGAACAGTGCCCTAGGTCAGATTTTTTTCTCCTTCCAGAACAAATCCCAGCACTCAGCATCACCCTTATAGCTGTACCAGGGGAAAAGCTTGTTGGGTTTTCTCTCAGGGCTCAGCAGCTAAGATCAAGTACTCTCTGGGAAAAAGCAGCATTGTTTTAAAGCATTTTGCTGGAAGGGAAGAACAGTCATTATTGACACAAATCTTAGGAAGAGTAGGATGGAGTCCAAATTACTCTAAAAGGAAATTTAACCAAAGAGAGGACAAAGTTCAATTAGGTCTCTGCAATACTGAAGGGTGACTCAGGGAAATGAAAGAAGTATTCACATTGCATGGGAATAAAATTTTGCACACAGAGCCCTGCCTGAACAGGAGGGAAACTATTGTGAAGCAACAAAGAGAAACTGCCTGATAAGCTGGGAAAGCGTTTCAACCTGACTTCGCCACTCATACAAACAGATCAGAAATGGCCTTCAGGGCCCTTAACATGGCTCCTGAAGAATCTGGTCATATCCATGCCCCTTCTCACTAGGCCACACAAACAGGGTCATCCCCAACAACCTGTCTCTGTTCTGAGGCTGCTCACCAGCCCTCACTCCTGGGCCAGACCCCATCCCAGCCGAGGCCTCCTGCTCTAGGCACCTGGGCTCCCTAACCCAGGTCAGCCATTGCAAGCAGAGGCTCTGGTCCACATGTCCCTGCTGCTGGAACAGTATGACTAGGCCCTTGCCAAGTTCTCAGCTAGGAGAGCATCCGAGTCATACAATAGCCTGAACCCCCAGCTCAGGTTCCCCCGGAGCTGCACAATACTCCCTCCTTCCCACCACTTGCGTCTCAGCTCCAGTGTCACCTCCTCAAGGTGGTCTTCTCAGCTGGATCCCTCTAATCAAAGTAACTTCTGATTCTCCACAGCTTCTTTTCATCTCACACCTGTTTAATTTCTTCAGAACAGTTGCCACTCTCTGAAATTATCTTATCTACTCATTTATTTACTAGTGTGGTTTCAAACATATTGAATTATTTATCATTGACCCCTGCACCTAGAAGGGTCCCCAACATGTAGCTGGTGCTCAGTAAATAATTGTAGAATAAATGCCATTGACCTTTGAGCACAGTCACATTTGCTGGTCTTGTTAGTCTCTGTTCTTAGATTCTGTGAATCCAACACAGTTTCTAAATCCTTATTGAAAGTTGCATTCAAAGCTGTGCCATGCTCAGGGTAATTGACAGGCTCATCTCACATGTGGAGCAGAAGAACAGCATTTTTCATCGCTCTCTTCAAGGCCAGTATTGATAATAGCAGTGACAGTATTCAGCAAGTACAGTTGCACCCCCTGAATGACAAACCTAGTCACATTGAAAGCAGAAGCACAGAAGACTTTCATGACAGGTGACCACAGGGACAGAACATGAACATCTTGA